ACACGAGGAGACCCTGTAAGAGGGCAGATGAGAGGCACTCATCTCTTTGAGGACTAGCCAGTGCTCTCGAATGCCATTATTGGAAGACTTTTACTCTTCTAAGCAATTCCTTTAGTCAACTGATGACCCATCGAAAGCAGACAATTCTATAGCTTTCAAAAATGTGCTGTTGAATTGAAAGGCATAATCTATAAATGGGAGCTATCTACACTAATAAAAGAGAAAGGTACAAATTGGTCTCTCTGCTATGCCCACCAGCCAATCGGATGCATATGCAAATTAACCCAACAAAGATGGCGGTTAATTTGCATACGCAGGCATGGAGCAAAGGCTGAAGGCTCAGGCCTGAGCAGCGGAAGACTGAAGGCTGAAGAGGGTTCGCTTCTCCATTGCGGCCAGAGCAAAGGCCTGGGTCCCGGGTGCCGGAGGAAAACCAGTGCCGGCAGCCAGGGAAAGGAAGGTCTATTGCAGGAATCTCTTCGTGTAACGGGCCTGTAGTTCTATATAAATGTGAATATTATTCTTCAATAGAAAGCTTACTATGATCATATACCGGTTAATAATGTGGATTTTGTATCAAAGGAAACACGATAATATCAAGAGAAACATCAAAAATGCTTTAGTCAAAGTAATGTCCATCGCTAACTACACTGCCCCCATCTTTCAGGTAGTTTGTGGATATTGTCCCAATAGAACTTTGCTTGTTTTGAGGCAAACCATTCAGAAACCCAATTTTCCATTTCTTCCTAGGTTTTGAAGTGCTGTGCAGAAAGTGCGTGTGCCATCAATCAGAGCAAGTGGTAACCTGAAGGAGCAAGGTCTGGTGAATACAGTGGGTGGGTTAATACTTCCGAGGCAAGATTTTTTAACATGTCTTTCACTGGTTTTGAAATGTGTGATGGTGCGCCATCATGAAGCAAAATTACTTTGCCGCATCTTCCGTCCCGTTCTGGTCGTTTCACAATCAAAGCATGGTTCAAATTGATTATTTGTTGTTGGTAGCGATCAGTATATCGTTTTTACCTGGTTTTGGAACCTCATAGTACACCACACCTTCCTGATCCCACCAAATGCAGAGCATTGTCTTCTTTTCAAAGCGATTTGGCCTTGCAGTTGATGTTGATGATTGACTTGGATCAACCATTTTGCACGATTGGGATTCTCAAAATAAATTCACTTTCCAAAGAACATTCAGTTGACTTGAATGTTCTTTGTCTTTCACATTGAAATCATTACTTTTAAAGCATTTAAACCAGTGTTCACAAGTATCTTGAGATGGAGCATGTTCACCATAAGCTTCCGGAGTATATGATAACTTTCAGCAGCACTTTTTAAGTAATGAATTAAAACTTCCTGCAAATGCTCTTTTTTTTGAACAAAATCTGACATTTTTAAGTGTAATAATATCTATGATGGTAACACCCTCAGAAAATTTGACATATGAAGTTCTGAAGCTTGCTGTCAATACAACAAATTAGCATACATATCAAATCACATATATATCAACATATGTGTAACTCCATCTATTGAAAAAAAAAATCTGCATTATTAACCTGTACACCTGGTAAATGCAGTATGAGCTGTAATCTATATACACTGCAACACTGATGGGATTTTTATGTTTGATTGATATTCTTACATATCTTCCTTTTTTCTTCGTGTTTTTAAGGTTTTACTGATATTCACTTAATAAAACTGTAAAGTCATTTGTCAAACATTTGCATACCTTAGTTTTTAGGAATTTTGGCATAGTGCACAATGATTTTCTTTCCCAGGAATTTATGTTGAAATAACAGGTAACAAAAAACAGAAGGCTTTTAAAACCGAGAGACAACTACACAAGGAGATCTCTACCTCTAGCTTTTTGGACAAGGGGAGTTCCTTACCAAATCTGGGCCCCAGTTGAATTCTATTTTCTAGACATTTTAAATGAAAACTAAGAGGACCCAACTTATTTCACCCTGGCTTCGTCTGTGGAGCAACTATATTTCACTTCCCTTTGAAATGGGAGAAAATATGTTTAAAATCATGAAGGAAGCAGATGAGCATCCAGCCCTGCCTGGCGGATTTCAGTTCCTCATCCCTTTCCCTTCCTAAATCCTCTCTGTATTCCTCTCCTTGGGACCTATAAACACCAATTTATCCTAACTGCAGTAGTTTTCTGTTACTTACAGGTGAAGAGTTAGAAAAACGAAGACTTTTGGAATCATGTACATCCATTTTCCCTTTAATTAAAATGAGTGAAATGAATTGCTACCACTTTAATACATAGAATGGGCTCTCAAGTCTTAAATTTTTCAGGCCCTCCCCCCTCTCATGTCCCAACAAACTTAGGCTTCGTCCCAATGGTATTTGAATCATAAAATTTTTTAAAGAATTTATTCTTTGAATATTGTGTTATTTTGGTCTTCATTAAAACAACTTTGGAGACATTTTTGAATAGTCACTGATTAAAATTTATATCACCTAAATATAGCTTTCACTTATATAAAATATGAGAATATAAGGCAAGATATACACATATTAAATGGAATGTTCACCTTCAGGGGGAGAGAAACACTCTAATCCTGTCATTTGCTTGCAATTACTGGGTTATTTCATAGATTATTCCATGTAAGTAAAAACTTCCAACTAATTGAAGCATATAACTAAGTGGCCATTTAAAAAAGCTTGTACTTTGAAAGAATATAGTCTTAAATTTATTATGTACCACCTTTCTTTTAAAAATTATTTTTCCTTTTAATAAAGGTAATATATATACTTTTTGAAGAATAATATATATTTACAACTAAAGAACAATTGTAAAAAAAGATAAGTATAAAGAAAAAAAATAAAATCACCTACCATTTTAATTCCATAAACAAATACCTTTAGTGATGTTAAGAACATGGTTTTTATGTATAACACTAGAGGCCTGGTACACGAAATTCCTGTGTGTGTGTGTGTGTGTGGGGGGGGGGGGGCCCTTCAGCCCGGCCTGCACCCTCTCCAATCCGGGACCCCTCAGGGGATGTCCGACTGCCAGTTTAGGCCTGGGATTGGGCCGAAACCAGCAGTTGAACATGCCTCTCAAAATCTGGAACCTCTGGCTCCTAACCACTTGCCTGCTTGCCTGCCTGATTGCCCCTAACCACTCTAACTGCCAGCCTGATGCCCCTAACTGCCTCTGCCTGCTGGCCTGATTGCCCCCTAACTGCCCTCCCCTGCCTGCCTCTTTGCCCCCTAACTGCTTTCCCCAGATGGTGCTATCCCTTGCCGGCTTGATAGCTCCTAACTGCCTTTGCCTTGGCCCCTGCCACCATGGCTTTGTCCGGAAGGACATCTGGAAGATATCTGGTCTAATTAGCATATTACTCTTTTATTAGTATAGATGCTGTGTGGTGTACTTATGTGTGTGTGTGAGTGTGTGTGTGTGTGTTTGTTTTTACATGCTTAGTGTTGGCTGGCACTAAGGCCTTGGGAGCAGGGCCAAGACAACCCCTTGCTAAACTCTTGGTAGCTGATATGTCCAAAATAAGATTTGAGATTAGAGACGCTTTGTAGGAGAAGGGGCGGTAATTATTGTTTTAAACGAGTGGTGCTCCATGTTACCTCTCTGCACGACCCCAAGCCTTTAAGTGATGTCTATTCACAAGTATTTCATTAGAATGGAGTTTCACATCTGGCTGTCTACCATGGTGGGGAAAGGATGGCATGTTGAATGCAGAAGCCAGGAAATTCTCAAGGTTCTGGGATTTTTCTTTTTAAAAAAAAATTTTTTAATTGATTTCAGAGAGGAAAGGAGAGGAAGAGAAACAGAAACACCAAAGATGAGAGATAATTATTGATTGGCTGCCTCCTACACTACCCCTACTGGGATTGAGCTCGCAACCCGGGCATGTGCCCTTTGACCACAATCGAACTCAGCCCTTCAATCTGCAGGCTGATGCTCTGTTTACTGAGAAAACCTGCTAGGGCAAGGTTCTAGGGTTCTTAAAAAATCATTTAGACTTTCCAAACCAAGGACATTTTATGTTGCAGTCTGGTACCAGAGAGAGTCTAGTTGACATATGAGGTGTATACATTGGTGAATATCACTATGTGCATGGCATTCTGCTAAACAGTTTACATGAATTATCTCACTGAATTTCCATAAAATCCTTCTGAGATTAGTGGTAGACCTCAAATTCAGATATATGCTATCTTGTTTAATAGTCTCTCTCTTTACCATCTATCAGTTATCTACTCATATCCATGTATATACACATATACATATATACATGTCCTATATACTAAAAGCCTAATATGCAAATTGTCCCCTTGGGTGGTCATTCGACCTGGAGTTCGAATACTTGCTATGATGTACACCAACCACCTGGGAGGCAGCATGGAACATGGCTGACATCAGCAACAGGGTGCTGGCAGCAGGCAGCAGTGGAGGCACTGCCGGCCGCGATGGGCACCGACGAGAGCGGGCCTGTGGCGCGATGGTGGCGGTGAGCGGGCAATGCCAGCCCAAGTTGGTGGCGGAGAGGGGCCTGATTACCCTGCCTATTGCCCCACAGACTGCGACCAGTGGTGGTGGGGACGGGGCTTCTTCCTGGCTTTCAGGCACTGAGGGAGCTCTGGCCCCAATTGATCGCCCCACAGGCGGGATGGTGGAGCAGGTGAGGAGGTGGCACCAGCCCATGGCATGCTACCAGCCAGGGCTGTGGGGCTGTGGGGCTATGAGTATGGGGGGGGGCGGGACAGGTCCCAGCAGGCCACACCGAGGGCCCCCAACAATGCACAAATTTGTGCACCCGGCTTCTAGTATACATATATACATATAAATATATCACAAGAATATACTGGATTTCCAATTTATTTTTCTTTATTAATGTTGAGACAAGTTTAATAAATTCTATTTTTTCTTGTACTCATTTTTTATTTGCAAAATTTTTACAAAAACTATAAATATTTTGTCGGGTCTGAGTTTGACAATTCACACACATAAATATATAAATAGTGGGTGAGAGTCAATAAATTAAAAAAGGGGGGGCATGCATAAATAAAATCCAAGAGGCTGGGACAGGTTGCCGGTGGGTGTCAGGGTCAGGCACACAGGTCTCCAGCGGCCACACATCTCAGGTCACGGGTGAGGAGGCGGAAGAGGTTCAATGTGACAGAGGCTTCAAGGCAGCCCTGGGATTCCTTCTTCCCGGCCTCCCGGAGGCGATGCAGCCACTGGCGGAGGGGGCCCCGGGGTCTGGGGCCTGCTGTGGCCTGAGCTGGGACACAGGCCTGAAGCTTGGAGTGGATGTGGTGCAGCGTGTGCAGGGGCTGGTCCAGGATGTCCCCCAGGGTCGAGTTCTTCAAGGTCCCCAGGACCTTCAGTGTCAGGGCCAGCTCAGCCTCCAAGGCCACAGGGCGCTCCCACACCTGCAGCTGCCTCAGGTCCCGGGTCCTGGGGAGGGGGCGGGAGCCGCAGCTCCAGTTCTTAAGCAGGAGCGACTCTTCCAGGGCGTCCTTGACCCTCTTGAAGGCCTTCATCTCTTGTGGCGACAGAGACTTGAACTGGCCCATGTGGCAGCCCCTTGCACCCAGGTGGGTCCTGGCGGGCGTAGGGGCAGGAGCTGCTCCTGTCCTGGTCAGCACCGAGGCCATCAGCATCAGCACCAGCACCAGCGTGCAACACACAGCCAAGTCCCGCTTCATCCTGGCCTCTGGTCTCTTGTCTCTGTCAGCAAATGGGGATCCAAGTGTCCACTCAGAGGCTGTCACCTGGGTCTCACCCAGTCTTGTTTGGTGTCTCTGGTCTCAGTCTCCTCTTCTGGGTCTCAGCCTGCTGCTCTGTCTGTATCTTTGCACTTGCAGCACTGCTGAGGTGTAATTCTGCAGAGCTCCATGGTGCAGCTTTTAGCCTGGACAGAGGGGCAATCCCAGCTGATGTAGGAAAAGTGAAAACTCACCTGCCACTAGGGGAGCTCCAGGCTGGGGAAGCCCAGCCCATGCAGGGGTGGACCTTGAACCAGTTGAGCAGCTGAAGCAAAAGGGAAAGTGAAACAGACTCTGATTCACTTACAGAAGGTGAGGTCATAAGAGAAATCTCAGAATAAGGGCAGCCTCAGCCCCACAAAGAGGGGTCACAGTGTTCTGCTGGGTAGGGGACATAGAGATGTGCCTTTCTGCAGATACCCCAGAGCAGGGAGAGGAGGAGAGAGGCACCTATAGGGGTGTTGCCACAAAGAACCTGGAACTTCCAAGAGAGAGGCTGTCAGGAGAGGGGAGAAGAGGAAGGGAGAAGGCTGCTGGGGCCTGGGAGAGAGTCAGAAAGACAAAGCAGCCTGGAATTAAGAGGAGACCATGTCCTTCCTCCCTTCCCCACTCAGTACTGAGAGTAAAAGAAGGGGAGGAGGGCAACTTGACAAACATCTTTAAATGTCCAGATGCAGCAGGACCCAGGGATAGGAAGCTCTGCTGGGAAGTGAGGTGTGGCCAAGGACTTCAAAGGATCCTGCTCAGTGTGCGACAAATGCTTTCATTCATTCATCAAGTATAACTCAGCCCCGACTTTGCATTAGGCACTGCTCAAGGTGCCCGGAATGGCATTGAAAATAAATCCCATTAAACAAATCTTGTTGGAGCTTTTTCTTTTCTTTTTTTAAAAATTGATTTCAGAGAGGAAGGGAGAGGGTCAGAAGGAAATATCAATATGAGGGAGAATCATTGATTGTCTTCCTCCTGCATGTCCCCTACTAGGGATTGAGCCCACAAACCAGGCATGTGCCCTTGATCAGAATTGAACTTGGGACCCTTCAGTCTGCAGGCCCGCCCCCATCCACTGAGCTAAACAGGCTAGGACAGAGCTTTTTAAATTTTATTCATCAGTTCATTTTGTTCATTATATTTCTTGTTCATTTACTTTGATTTTTAGATTCAATTGTTGATATATATATATATACCTATATATATATCTATATATAGCCATTTTATTGTTTATATTTTTGCTCTTCTCCTTATTCTTCTCCTCTTCTTTCTCCTTTCTTCTTCTTTCTTCTTCTTCTTCTTCTTCATCTTCATCTTCTTAAAGAATACCTTTCAACATTTAATGTAATACTAGTTTAGTGGTGATGATCTCCTTTAGCTTTTTCTTGTTTGTGAAGCTGTTTATCTGACCTTCAATTCTAAATGATACCTTTGCTGGTTGGAGTAATCTTATTTGTATGTCCTTCCTATTCATCACTTTGAATATTTCTTGCCACTCTCTTCTGGCCTGCATCGTTTCTGTTGATAAATCAGCTGACAGTTGTATGGGCATTACCTTGTAGATAACTGCTTTTCTCTTGCTGCTTTTAAGATTCTCTCTTTGTCTTTAGCACTTAGCTCTTTAATTTGATGTGTCTTGGTGTGGACCTTCGTTGGTTCCTCTTATTTAGGACTCTCTGCACTTCCTGTACTTGTAAGTCTATTTATTTCACCAGGTAGGAGTAATTTTCTGACGTTATTTCTTCAAATAGGTTTTCAATATCTTGCTCTCTCTCTTCACCTTCTGGGACTCCCATAATGTGAATGTTGGTACGCTTGAAGTTGTCCCAGAGGCTCTTTACAGAACCTCATATTTTTGGATTCTTTTTTCTTTTTGCTCAACTGATTGGGTGTTTTTTTGCTTCCTCATATTCCAAATCATTGATTTGATTCCTGGGATGCTCTACTCTACTGGTGAATATCTGTAAATTATTATTTATTTCAGTTAGTGTATACTGAATTTCTGACTGGTCCTTTTTCATGTCTTTGAAATTCTCACTAAGATCCTTGAAAGTTTCACTAAGTCCCTTGAAACTCTCATTAAGATCCTTGAGCAACATTATAATCATTGTTTTAATATCCAGGAGTTTTCTTGATTCCATTTCATTCATTTCTGACATGTTTCTTTGTCTCTGCATTTTGTCTGCTTCCCTGTGTTTGTTTCTATGTATTAGGTAGAACTGCTATGTTTCCTTGAATTGGTAGAGGGTCCTTGTGTAGTAGGTGTCCTGTACGGCCCAGTGGCTCAGCCTCCCCAGTCATATGCATACCCCTGTCTGAGTTATGTGCACAGTCTTGTAGTTGAGTCTTGATTGCTTTTGGTGTCACTTCCAGGCCAACTGGCTGTAAGAACCAGCTGTGACTACAGTGGAAGAGCTGCTGTGCACTAGATACCCCTATGGAGCAGAATTTGCTTCAGTGGGGCTTTGGTGCTCACTGAAGCTGCCCCTTGAGTGTTTCACTTACGGATGTGTAGAGTTGTAATCTACTACAGTTTGAAGTTGTCAACCCGGTACTCTGGCTCTTGGGCCTTTTGGGAGGTACAAAGTCAGTTACTGCCTGGGGCTGCCTGGCAGGAGCTACAGAGAGATATCTGAAGATGACTGCTATTTATATTGGCCCTGGAACTGCTAAGGCAAGGACCAGCTGTGAGGCAAGGCAGGCTGGTGCTGGTGCTGAGTCTTGGGCTTCTTATTGATAGGTTTGGGGTATGCGGAAGCCAGTTTTACTTGTTTGAGAGACTTTAGAAAAGTATGAAGCCTGAGCCAGGGCAGGCCATTGATATGGAAAAAACACTGCTAACAGCTTGGTCAGGGCTGCAAATAGGATGGGGCAGAGTCTCTGGGAATCACCAGGATAGAGCAAGCAATGTGGGCCAGGCTGATGGAAACTCAGTTATGGCTGCCAGTCAGCTCTGTGATGGGGGAGGTCCCAGCACAAGAACAATGATCCATGTGAGCATCCCCGTCTGGGAGAAAGCCACCACCGAGTTCCTGCCCAGATGCAAGACAATCCAGTTCCTCCCATATGTCCCTGGATATCCCAAAGCCACCACCCGGTGCTAGATCTCAGAGGAAGTGGGACCATATAAATTCCTGCACCAGACCTTTAAGGGGAACTGTCTGGGATTCCAGCAGCCCCGGTGTCACTCAACCACAATCTCCACTGGTTTTTATAGCCCTGAGTTATGGGGACTTCTCTTCCCAGCTCTGGAACCCTGGGCTAGGAGTCTGGTGTGGGGCTGGGACCCCTTGCTTCTCAGGGGAGGTCTCTGCAGTGGAGATATCCCTCCAGATTAAAAAAGATGCCACACATGGGTGTTGGACCAGTCTGTTCCATGCCTCCACCCGTCCTACCAGCCTTGATGTACTTTCTTCTTCACTTTTCTAGTTATAGGACTTCCATTGAGCCAGATTTTGGGTGGTTCTTTATGATAGTTTTTCTGTATTTATTTTAGTTGTACTTTTGATGTGGTTGTGAGAGGTGTATAGTATCAGTGTTTATTTCTGATACTAGAGGCTTGGTGCATGAAATTCATGCACAGATAAGGTCCCTAGGCCTGGCTGGTGATCGGGTCCAATCAGGGACTTCCAGCTGGGGCCTTTCTTCCCCAGCTGCTGGCTGCCAGCTGGGGCCTTCCTCCTTTACATGCCACCCCCTGGTGGTCAGCGCACATCATAATGGGCAATTGAACACCCCAATATCCCAGTCGAATTGTTGAGGGGACACTTTGCATATTAGCCTTTTATATATATTGATAGTCTTAATATATGAGAAATTTCTACATCGCAAATATGTGGATACAGTATAATTTTTTAAATCCTGGTGTTGCATATCTAAGGGATATGTGTTTTTTTAGCTATTATAATGATGAATATTTTTTCCTCTTTATTTTATTTTATTTATTTTCCATCACCATTTAACCCCCTTACCCTTCTCCCACTTCTGTCCAACCCTACAATTACCACACTGTTGTGATTTAATGAGAAGATTTTATTGTCAGACTATATAAGTCTTGGATCCCTGATTCACTCTTCATTAGTCATATGATTTTGGGCAACTTTCTTAGCTTCTATGAAACTGTTTCTTAATTTTTAAAATGAGGAAAAATAATTTTATGATAGAATTGTTAGATACTATTCATAAGATGCTAACTTGATCTGTGCTGATTCAAAAAATAATTCCCATTTTTCTTACCAAATAATTATAAACGTCTTATTTATATCACATTTTTATATTAGCCTTCATGCAAATTTTAGATTATTCTGAAATTTAGGAAATTCCAACAAGTGGAAGTTCTCAGTGTAGGCTTTGATCTTTATTACCAAAATTTCTAAAATAGTTTTGTACAATAGAACTTGTGCAAATTAATATTATCATGAAAAATGGTTAAGAAGGCTCATTTCCTATTCATTGTAGGTATCATTATTAGAAAAGATCTTATCTAATTTGATATGTATAGTATTTCATTTTATTTGGCTTCCTAAATAGTTGCCAAACCTTTTTTTTTTTTTTTTTACTATTGCTATTTTTCTTTTAGATTTATCTCTTCTTTCTCACTTTGCTCTACTTTCTTGAGAATGCCCATTTTTCTTTATTTCAAAACTTTACACATGTTTCTCTTCCACTTTCCTCCAACTTTTTCCTTGGGCATCGTACTCATCACTTAAATCATGGTACTCACATCACTGCCTCAGAAAAGACTATATAAGTACCTTCCAAACTAGGGCATATCTTTTTTTTTTTAAATATATTTTATTGATTTTTTACAGAGAGGAAGGGAGAGGGACAGAGAGTTAGAAACATCGATCAGCTGCCTCTTGCACACTCCCCACTGGGGATGTGCCTGCAACCAAGGTACATGCCCTTGACCGGAATCGAACCTGGGACCCTTCAGTCTGCAGGCCGATACTCTATCCACTGAGCCAAACCAGTCAGGGCCAAACTAGGGCATATCTTCCCATTAATGCCTGTACTTTAAAGATGGCGCAATTTCAATAGCAAAAACAGAGAAAAGCACATTTAAAGCATAGTCAATTATCTTATCTAATAATAGACAAACATGGTAATTAACTGTACCTCCGACATGCTTCCCATTGGCTAATCAGGGCGATATGCAAATTAACTGCCAAACAAGATGGCGGCAGGCAGCCAGGCAGCTGAAGCAAACAGGAGGCTTGCTTGCTCCAGTGATGGAGGAAGCCAAGGTTCCCCGCCTGCTGCTGCTGGCTTCTGAGCTGCACTCTAAGAAAAAATGTTGCAATTATAGAAGCTAAACAAACCCAGAAACCTGCTTTCAGCCAGCTGGGCCTCAGAGATGGAGCTGCAACAGTGTTTCAATTATAGAAGCCAAACATACCCAGATACCTGCTTTCAGCAGCCAAGGTCTCAGAGCTGGAACCGAGCCTCAGAGCTAAAGCCGGCTCTCAGTTCCAGTGACAGCCATAGAAGGTAAACAAATCCCAGAATTAAAAAAAAGGGAAAAGGAGAGGTTGGGAGCTTCAGTCACCCACCAGCCTGAAAACAGCCCTCAGCCCCTCACCTAGACTCGCCAGGCACCCCAGTGGGGACTTCCACCCTGAAGGGGGTGTGACCAGCCTGCAAACACCCATCAGCCCCTCACACAGGCTGGCCAGGCACCCAAGTGGGACCCCCACCCTGACCCAGGACACCCTTCAGGGCAAGCCAGCCGGCCCCCACCCATGTACCAGGCCTTTGTCCTATATAGTAAAAGGGTAATATGCAAACTGACCCTAATGATTGGGAATGACTGGTCACTATGACACACACTGACCACCAGGGGGCAGACGCTCAATGCAGGAGCTGCCCTCTGGTGGTCATGGCGCTCTCACATGGGAGGAGCTCTGCTCAGCCACAAGCCAAGCTGATGGCTGCCAGTAAAGCGGTGGTG